AAACAGCGTATTTATAGCTTAGGGATTAAGTCATCTACATTTATTAGCGGGAATAACTGTAGTTCATCTGCTACTTCACAACTTCAACAAGAGGCAATGGAGATGGTGAACCTTGAGTTAGAGACCATGCGAGTTGAGATGGAGGCTCAGATGGAAGCTAAACTACAAGCTGAAAGAACTCAAACGCAGGATCAAATGCAAGCTCAGATTCAGGCTCAAATGCAAGTTCAGATTGCAAGTTTGATGGATGATTTGCGTCGCAACGACATGGTATCCACTCCATGTACTCAAGCTGAACGTTCGGCTAATTCAAATGATGAAAACTTAGGAGATGATTAGATTATGTTTATTTATATGTGGTACTGGTTCTAATGATGTAACATTATACTACTATGCTTTTGTTATTGTTATTGACTTTGAATGCTTTAATATAATATATTTTATAATTGTATAATTCAAGTACTATATTATAGGCTTAATGCAGGTTTTGGATATTAATTAGCGGATACAATTGTTTTATTAATTTTTAGAATTTAGCGACGGAAAAATATGGTAGTAAGGCAACGAAATAGCGACGAAAAAATCCGTAGTTAAACTTAGCGACGAATATTTCTGTCACTAAGTTGTAGCTAAATCACATTCAATTCGAATAATAATAAAAGAATAGCGATGATAATTTTCGTTTGCGCTCAAAAATCCGTAGCTATGCCTTGCAAATCTCGTCGCCGGATCGTTGTAGTAGGAACTTAATTACGGATTTTTTGTTGCTTTAGCGACGGAAAAATCCATCGCTAATTGTAGCGACAGAATATTCCGTCTTTATTCGCTCACAAATTTCGTCTTCAAATCCTTCGTCGAAAGGAATGTAGTGACAGATTTATTTCGGCTAGCGACGGACAATTCCGTCGCTACAATTAGCGATAGAAAAAAGTTGTGTCGCTAAATTCCAGTGATGCGGGTTTTTGTGATGGACGAAATCCGACGCTAAAGTATTTGGCGACAGATTTTCACTATTTAGCGTCGTCCGACACTATTCCCTTGTTTTTTTTGTAGTGAATTGAGTAAAACCACTATAGTCGATGACTATATTGGTATTAACTCATTTCGAATATATACAATTTTACTACCCTATCTAATCTTATTCCTTAAATAAACTATGAATTTCTCTATCCACAAGAACTTATTCAACAATAATGGTTGAACCAAAAGTATCTCGAGCAGAACACCTAAAGGACTGGTATGCTTTTATGCTGATAATAATATGTAAATTGTAATTAGATCCTTATCTTACGTAGCTATATTTAAAACTCATTATTAAAAATGTCAATGTAGAACAATAGAACACCGTGATACATTTGACGCATTGAAAATATACCTAGTCTACAACAATGTTGCAATCAATATTGCAAATCTAGAAAATGAAGAAATTTCAAAAATAGTCATCGTTGCAGCATTCATTGATCCTGTATGTAAAATACTTATTGTGCATCCTTTAAATATATTAGAGCTAATATAAATTTACAATTCATTTCATTTTCTAGACTCAACATGCTTGGATTAAAGGCAAAATCAGTTCAGCAACAAAATTTTACAAAAACACAAACACACACACACACACACACAATCAAGTACTACACTCACTCATACTAATTCCAAAAATATGAACTTCAAAATGAACATGTGCAAAATGATGTGGAAATTGTTGATGAAACTGGATACATTGTGGCATTAATATTCGAACTACTTGTAGAGTCATTGATGTTACTATCAAGTAAACAAGTTATGGAACTATAACAAGAGGTATTACTCATGAACTTTCTATAAATATACTAAATATTACTATTTTGTTCAATACTTTTACATTATTAGAAAATCTATGACACACATCTCACAACACATGAAACATGTAGGGGAAAGAAATACCACTACCGAATATCAACTAGTGCTTGCAAGATCAACAGTTCATAGTACAACTAAGATCCCGGTCATATACACAACAAGGCAAATCCATAGCTTCCTACACCATAATCTCATTGCATGACGCTTCCCTATATGCTACCACCAGTAACCCGATTGCACATGACATACTACCAATAAAGAAGAAGAGGACAAGTACTAAAGATGAAGACAATGACAATGCTAATCAAAAGAGAATTACGAAGACTTAGAGAAATTCAAACCAAAAGTAATATTTATTTAGACTATCATTTTTAGACTAAGTATTTAGACTAGAGTTTTTACAAAGTTGCAAACATTTATTTTAATGAAAATTATAATCAATCTCTCATATATTATCTTGCATTCATATACTTTGAATTACAAATTTAAATAATAAAGAAATTCAACATTCAATTACCTATGCATGAACATCCCCTATATAATCTTGTATTCATATACTTTGAAGTACTTATTTAAAAATAAACATTGGGCATTATCACATTCGTGCAATGCCCATGAAAAACTAGTCATATAATACGACATAATGCAATACCTAGGTTGGGGGTGTATTCAATCAAGATTTTTATAAAATTTTAAAGACTTTTAACGAGTTTAAAAATTTGGTGGTATTCGATCTAGATTTTTAAAGACTCTTTAAAAGTCTAATAGTATTCGATTCATACTTTTAAAGAGTCTTTACAAGTATATTGGTATTCGGTTCGAACTTTTATAGTCTTTAAAAGTCTACTGTTATTCAAAAACTTATTAACTTTTATAGACTCTATCAGAATATATAGGATTTATGTAAACTTTTTTTTTTCACAAATATACATAGTTAAAATCCAACCTTCTAACTCCAAACTTTTCAAATTTCTCTACAGACTTTTTTTTTTTCTGTCGAAACCAGACAAACTTTTTATCTATTCATGTCAAATTTTACGGTACGTTCAAAACTTTCATAAATACTCACACTTTTGATATTTATCTTTTTATTTTCGCACATATATATCTATAAAAAATCATAACAAAATTTTTATTATTGTTGCAAACAACAACTAGGTTTTGCTAGTGTTCCTTGTAGGCACATTGTTGGTCTTATACTAGTTGATTTGCCGTACTTATTATACTTATCTAATTTTTCTTGAGTTCATATACGTGCTAGTTTAATCACTTGCACTAACCTAACAATACGAATTTAGAAGGCTTTTGATAACGAATATCAAAATTTTTTGGGAATTAAAGAGGTGGAAAAATAATTCTCACGTTTGACTTAAAAAAGTTTGGGCAACTAGAAATCTAATTTCATAATATTAAGCAAATTAAATCTAACATAGGGGGTAGGACTATTTTTTTCCGAGTGATTGAAATGTATAAAATTAATTCATAAATAAATAAATAAAAATTATCCTCCCATTATGAAGACTAACGACGCTATTTATTAAAAGAATTTACATCTAGATACGTATGATGAAGTTGTGCTATTCTAGGTATTCTTCTATTTCAACGTGTGTATCTATACATATAGTGCATGGTTACTGAAGAATTTTCTTCTATTTGCTACATGTTTCATTATATATATATATATATATATATATATATATATATATATATATATATATATATATATATATATATATATATATATACAATGTGCTTTAATTGTCGTACATTCATTTGCATTGGACAAAATCACCCTTACACCGTTATAACACCGTTAGTTTTTAATATATCTACCAATCTTACCATACACCTACAACTATCATATCTTTTTCCTATTTTTAATTATCATTTTATTAAAATTATCATATAACAATTAATTTAATTATAAATTATATTTTAATTAAATATTTATATGAATGTTAAATTATATATGTGTACCATATATATATATATATATATATATATATATATATATATATATATATATATATATATATATGTATATATAATATGTATGTATATTATTTGTGTATCCTTATCAATATATCGTATATGTGAGTGTTAGCTTAGTATTATTTGTAAATTATTATTATATAAATGTATAATTTTTTTTTTTTGTTTTGATCACTATATTATTCAAATATATGATAATTCGAAAGTGTCGTCAGTTTAAGAAATTACAAAACATAATTTTAACCAATTTTTTAAATTTTGTTACTTACAAATATTTTAATATTGGGCATAAGTTTTCGTGCATCGCGCGTACAAAATACTAGTATATATATATATATATATATATATATATATATATATATATATATATATATATATATATATATATATATATATATATATATATATATAGTTGTTAACAATTCTGAGTGTTATAAATACATACATACATAAAAATATATTATATATTATAACAATTTTTGTAACAAAATATAAATAATTTATTAATACAAGTTATGAAATGTTTGTAAATGTGCATTCAATTTAGAGTTTTAATGACTTTTGTACACTTTTTAATATGAAAAAGTTTTTAAAAGTTTATAAATGTTTGTCCAACAAACTTTAATAGACTTATATCAATTGAAGTTGATGAAAGTTTAAAAAATTCTAGGAAAATATTGAAAGATTTTATGAAAATCATTTAAAATCCATCACTTTAAAACTCTTTGAAAGTCTATAAAAGTCTTAATTGAATACACCCCTTAGACGGTGTAACAATTAACGTTATTTTTACACGTGTATAGCATTTTTACACACTATTATAAACTTTTTTTCCCCTAAAGATTGAATCCCCAACCCTAAGGGCCCCCCACGTCCCAACCCAATAGAGCATTACTGCTGGAAATTTCGCTATTTCTGTCCAACAATAATGTTCGTCGGTAATTTGTAAAAAATCACAACTTTTCATCACAAATAGAAATGGACAGAAAGTTAGACGGAATTTCCGTCCAACCCTTGCGCGTCGGACGGAAGTTCCGACCGACATTAAATGTTTGACGAAGATTCCGTCCAACAATTGCACGTTAGACGGAAAACTAAATTGACCGCCATACTTAAAAGTTTTTAGAAGTATTTTGGCGGTTAGAAATTTCACAAAATTTCGGTCAAAACGCTGAAGCCTTTGGGTGGTACCTGCTCACGCTCAAAACAAGGGTTTATATCTCATACGCTCTAACACTCAGCTATGCTCCAAATCCATCACCACACCAGTCAACAAAACAGTCGTCACCGCCCTCCATCGCCTTCCCCTCTGCCGCCAACAAAACAGCCTCGCACAGCCCCCTCCTCGCCGTTCACACAGTCGCCCCCCCTGCCTTTCGCTTTGGTCGCCGTCAGTATGTATATACACAGCAGGGGAAGGTCGCCGGTCGCTGTTAAAATCTCCGGTCTCCATCGTCACAAGTGAAGGTACATAAAAATATATTATTGATGGATTCCCTCTTTAATTTGGATTCTAAGGGATTTCTAGGGTTTCCTTTCATTCATCTTTCATCTCATCCATCCCAACTCCAGAACTAAAAATATATTATTAATATTTTATATTTTATTTATAATTATTTAAGATTTCTTCTAGAAATTTGTAGCTAAAAGTTCAAACCGTGGTGCTAATGTTATTCTACCATATGAGGAACTTAATTCTTCAACTGGAATCTAATTTGATGATGCAGCCCAACATAATGAAGATCCATTAAAAGTACAAATTGGGCAAAACACAAGATCCAAGGCCCAAATCATCTTTATTTTTTTGTGGTCATCATTATTTTAAATTGTTTGGAATTAAAGAGAAAAACACTAGTTTGTATTTAGAAAGGATTCCTTAAATCCCTTTCTAAATAGGACTATATTTACTTGCTTTCTAGATTAGGTTTAGGACTCTTTTTCCCATTGTATTTAGGTTTACAATGCTCCCCTATACCTATAAATAGGGCACATCCATATCAGTTTTGAGGAGGCTTTAATTGTGACACCCCGTAATACGAAATTCAATTAAGGGATTAATTAAGTAATTAATCCTAAACCAATTGGTAATTTAATTCCTTAAATTCCTAAAATTCAATAGTCGGGGACTAGTAATTGACTAGTCAACCCAAAGTCAAGTGTTGTACCTAAAGCTTTGTGAATAGTTCCCTTGTTCCCTTACACATTTCATCTTAGTAAGGGTAAATAAGACATTTCCCTTGTAATAGTCTTCCAAGCTAACCTAATAGACACATTTCATTTCTCTCAAACACTCTCCAAAATCATAAGCTCTCCCTTCTCTCTAAAAAGCTAGTTAGCTTTCTCTTCAAGCTAAATCTAGGGCTACCAAGATCTTCCAAGTTTATCTTCAAGATTCAACCTTTACTACTTTTGGGCATCTAGGATGGCAAGATCTAAAGATCCTTTTGTGTTTTTAGTGTTTTCTAAGGTATCTCTTCATAGAGGTGAAATCTTTATGATGTTTTGGTGTGTTCTTGAAGTGGCTATGGAAAGAGGACCTTGTTAGGAGCTTGAGGAGTGTTGTAAGTCAAGGATAAGTCTACAAGAGGTAACCCATGCTCTACAAAATCTATTTTGCTTACCTATATGTTGATTTCTTGGATTCTACATGTGATTTTGCTATGAAATGTGAGTGTTGATGCATTGTCTTGTGAAAATGCATATCTAGAGCTTGTTATTAGGGTTCATGTATGCCATTGCTTGGCAATTCGTTTGATTCAAGTCATTTTGTTGTATTTGGTGATATTTGGCATGTTTTGGACTTGAATTTGAGCATGGAGTTGAAAATCCCCGAAGGGATTATTTGTGGTACAGGGTGTGTACCCGCGGGCGGAACGGCAGGTGGGGTACCACTCGCTGCCTCACCCGCGGGGTACGTAGCCGGAGGTCCACCCGTGGCTCCACCCGCGAGGAACAATGTTGGCTTGTTCGGGGATTTGTTTCCCGTGATTCTTTTGACTCGTTATTTGGTCTTTTGACTTCCCGATGTTCTTTTGTGGAACTATTTGAGAGTCTTCTTGATGTGTCGTATCTCTAGAACTATATGGTAGGAATCCATGTAGGTTTTGGTGTCTTCAATCTTGCTAAGTGTTCAACATTGTGATTCGTTGAACCGTGATGAGTCTTGTGGGTTCTTCGGAACTATATTTGGTTTACCCGTTTGATAAGCATGCTAGTTCGGTGTTTAAATGCTAGCGTGTGTGTTGTTTGTCCTTTCCTATTGTTGATTATGACTTGCGTTAATCATCATTGTTGTTGGACTGTGATCCATTCCTTAATTGAGTATGGTTTCATATCTTCGTTGTGATCCGTTGATTGATTCCTGTTGTGGTGTGGTGTGTGTGGTTGTACCTGGATTGCACGATTAATGGTATGGGACATTAGTCACCAAGGTACGGTAGTGGTCCTCGTGGTGGCCATAACGCGATTATGGAGTTTGTGACCTCAGTGATGGGTTCACGTATTTCTTGGGTGGCATGTGTTGCCGTGTGTGTGATCGGTACCCTCGTGTACTATGAATCGGTGGTCTTATTGGTGGTCGTTGGTGGGGGACGACGGTCCCAGAATGGAAAAGGTTGGACTTGGTTGTACAGGGGTCCTGGAGGTAATGGTTGGAACTAGACATAAGGTTGGGGGTAGCCATAAGGTTGGAACCGGGCATAAGGAAGGCATCTCAATTCGTGATGGGTGATGTCACGAAGGCTTGTATAGCCGTTGTTCTGTATTTCTCTATTTGTGACATGTGTTGTCACAAAGGCATGTGTTGCCAATGGTTGTGTACTTATTCTCTTGTGTTATGCATGTCGGGTGTTAATCTACTGTGTGATGGTAGATTATGCCTTGAACCGTTCTCGTGAGTCGTTATTGCTTCTTGTTGTATTGGGATGTGTTCCCATATCTTTATTGTGAGTGCAAAGAGTCTTGTGTTTAACTTCTATCTTGGCTTTGAAATTGATATATACTATATCCCATTTCGCAAATGATTTTGTGTATATATAAACTATCTACATATGATATTTCACATGTATTGGTGGGTTACGAGCATCATTCGCTGACCGGGCGTCGTCCCATATATATATTTGTGTTCTTTCAGGTGCTGAGTAGACGAGGGCGCGGTCTAGAGACAGCTAGAATAGATCCCTTGAACCTTATGTTGGTTTGGGCCTGCGTGCGTTTGTTAGACTTTAGACTTCTTGTCGTTGACATTGTTTTTGATTAGTTGGATTATGTTGCAGACGTTTACGCCTGTGCGTTCAGTGTTGAGTGAGCGTGGCATAGCACTCTACGTTTTCTATATATTTCATATCTAGTCTTCCGCTGTGTATGTTTTATGGTTAGTTTATCTGCATGTTTAAGGTTTAAATTGGTATGGAAATCAGGGGTGCTACAGTTGGTATCAGAGCCTAGGTTTGAGCCTAGGATGATAGAGTCTAGACTTCTAAGTGGCTAAGTTTGGTTTGAGACCTTAAGGTGACCATAAGAATCTAAGTGTTTAGGCTTAGGATTCTTTGGATGCCCGGTGAGCTGAGCATTGTTTATAGTTGTTTGCTTGTTTGTTGTCTTGTTGGTAACAGTGTTGTTGTTGTAGAGGCTTTGCGACGCCTCCTCGTCAGCAGCGTATCGTGACGTTCGAAGATGTGGGTGATAATGCTAAGAGACCCAGAACAACAGGAGTTAGTAACACTCCTAGTGTGGTCGAGCAGTGGATTCGAAGTGGCACGTCCACTCGGATAAGCTCCAGCACAGCTACCTTGCCAACGTCTTGTGATCTAAGAAGGAGTAATGGGCTGGGAACCCAGAGTTTTTCTGAAAAGTCATCACAAGAGAGGATCCTCATCCTAAGCGAGGCTCGAGCGGGGGACAGTGATGTAGTGATCGGGACATTTCTGGTGCATGCCGTCCCAGCGGTAATCTTGTTCGATTCCGGAGCGTCCAACTCGTTCATATCCCTGGGACTCGTGAAGAAGTTAGGCCTAACCGAAGGCGTCGGGGTGAAGTTAAGCGTCAAAGTGGCATCCAGAGAAGTTAAAACCTGCGACCGTCTCATCAAAGACGTTAAGATAGCCATCGGTGGAGAAGAGTTTTCCAGTAATCTAATACAGTTCGGTTTGGACGGGGTAGATGTGGTCCTGGGTATGGACTGGCTAGGGCGGTTCAGAGCTCAGATCTTGTGCGGTGAGCAGAAAGTGGTTTTGAGAAGGCGAAGTGGGAAGAGGGTGTTGCACCGAGGATCAACATAAGAGCCGGGGATCAAGTTAGTGTCCATGATGAAGATGAAAAAGTACGTGGAGAAAGGCCACGAGATCTTCTTGTGCTTAGTTGAAAACCTGAAGGCAAAAGGAGATGCGACTCAGACCATACCTGTTGTATGCAAGTTCCTTGATGTCTTCCCCAAGGAGATCCCGGGAATGCCTCCTCCGAGAGAAGTTGAATCCTCAGTGGATCTTGTACCTGGTACAACGCCTATATCTAAAGCTCCCTATCGTTTAGCGCCTAAGGAGATGCAGGAGTTGAAGACTCAGTTGCAAGAGCTGTTAGACAAAGGCTACATCCGGCCAAGTACGTCACCGTGGGGAGCACCGTGCTTTTTGTAAAGAAGAAAGATGGGAGCATGAGGTTGTGCATCGACTACCGCGAGCGGAACCAAGTCACAATCAAGAACAAGAATCCCCTACCGCAGATCGACGACTTGTTTGATAAACTCTGAGGTGCCGGAGTGTTCTCCATGATTGACCTAAGATCAGGTTACCATCAGTTGAAAGTGGCAGATCAGGACATACCTAAGACGGTGTTCCGAACTCGCTACGGCCACTACAAGTTCACGGTGATGCCGTTCGGGTTGACCAATGCACCAGCGGTGTTCATGGACCTAATGAATCGAGTGTTCAAGCCTCACCTCGACGACTTCGTGATCGTGTTCATCGACGACATCCTTGTGTATTCTCGGGATAAAGAAGAGCACGTAGGGCATCTTCGGACAGTACTTCAGATTTTGAGGGAAAAGCAGTTGTACGCCAAGCTTTCGAAATGTGAGTTCTGGAAGGATAGCGTGGCATTGTTGGGCCATGTGATAGACAGCAGAGGCACCTCGGTGGATCCGGAAAAGATTCGAGCGGTAAAGGAGTGGACCGTTCCGACCACCGTGGCGGAAGTAAGAAGCTTCCTTGGGCTAGCTGGTTACTACCGAAGGTTTGTGTTGGACTTTGCTAAGGAGGCTCAACCGTTGACAAAGCTGTTGAAGAAGGACATGCCTTTTCAATGGAATCAAGCTTGTGAGTTAGCGTTCCGGAAGTTGAAAGAGAGACTCACGACCGCACCAGTGCTGATCTTACCATCTGGGACAGAGGGGTTCGAGGTATACAGTGATGCATCCAAGAAAGGACTAGGATGCGTATTGATGCAGAATGGGAGAGTGATAGCTTATGCCT